CAGGTTTTCTAATGAAACTGATACAAATTTCAAATCCTGTCCTTTACCTATACCGTTGAGTCCTCGGTTTAACACAGAAAGAAATCACTGATTTCCGTCTCAGAACACAAAGAGATTTTTATCTCTCAGCATTGTTTTTCAGAAAGTCATATCAGACTTAGTAAGAAGGAGTTCTTCAACTAAAGCAAGCAAATAAAAAATCACAAAAATGCACACCTTAACCCCCGGACTTCATAAGCTTCACACTTAACTCATTAGAATTGCATGTAATGTAGTTTTGAAGTTTAACATTAGCTATACTAATTTATAGTCATTAACAATTAATGGAATGCTATGTTTAAATGGTTGGGGAAATGATTATCAATTATCTGTATGAATTAACTATAGCTGTTTGTATCCTAGAACAAAATATGTCTTTTGTATTCAGGCTTTTTTACAACATTAATTTATTACCAACCTCATTTCAAAAAGTTATTAACTTTCTATACATTATTAACATGTTGTATATTCACTGTCTTGTCTTTCACTAGCATATAATTAAATTTGCAAAGCCTTTTTAGAAGTTTAGGAAGGCATGATATCTTCCTAGGTAAAACCTGTACTATTTTGACCTTTCCTACACACTTACTTAAGCATTCTGTTTTTCTGTCTTTAGTCACACACTTGGTTGGTTTCTACAGGCTGAGTGGACATACACTGTAATTTTTCTGATCACATTATTGTTCTGAAAATTTGCTCCACAGGAAAACAATTTCCAGCAGGATCAATCTTTGAGATAATTCTTTTTTTACAATACACCAACATGGAGACACAGTGTTTGTTCTATTTCACACTTTCAAGAACGCTCAAGGAAAGAAGTTCATCTCATGCTGTTAATTCTTTTTTAACTTGAATTCCTCAAGTTTCTTTCTAATTTCATCAGCTTCATTTTGGATTTTAGAGTTTATAGTTAATAATAATCAAAAGTCCTGTCAAATCCAAAATAATCCTTTTTTGAGGTAAAAGATAATCCTGATCAACATCTATATCCATCTGAACAAAGCCTGTGGCAAAGGCGGAGAGGAGAAACTTGCACATCTGCCTTCCTCCAGCTGCTCTGGGGGAGGAGAGCATTCTGCTTTGCAGGCTTCTCTTTGGGGCAAAGGGAGCTTCCTGGGGCCTGTAAATTCTTTACATGAGAAAAATGGAGTGAGAAACTGGTATTATAGACAACAGTAATATGCTATTACAGCTAGTGCCCTTCTCTTATGTATAATTTCATGAAATAATAAAAAGCAATTTACTGCCAGATTTGCTATCTTTCATGCAAGATATCCCAAATCTTGCCCATCTCATATACATATGTATATATATTTTACAGATTACATATATATTGATTTTATAGATTAGCCTTTAAACCAGTGGCTGGATACAGTATCTTTTAAAATAAAAACCCTTTCTTGTTAAGAAGACAGAGGAATTAATTTCAGTAAATGTACTCTTAAGGTTTACATCAGTTCTTATATGCCTAAATGCACGTTAGACACCGATATATTAAGTCTAGTCAGAGGCCTGGGGCCAGTGGTGTCCCCCAGGGGTCAGTACTGGGCCCAGTGCAGTTCAACTTGCTCATCAATGACTTGGTAAGGGCACAGAGTGCACCCTCAGCAAGTTTGCTGATGACACCAAACGGGGAGGAGTGGCCGACACTCCCAAGGGCTCTGCTGCCATTCAGAGAGACCTAGACAGGATGGAGGTGGGCAGAGAGGAACCTCATGAGGTTCAACAAGGACAAGTGCAGGGTCCTGCACCTGGGGAGGAATAACCCCAAACACCAGTACACGTTAGAGGTCAACCTGCTGGAAAGCAGCTCCACGGAGAGGGATTTGGGAGTCCTGGTTGGCAACAACTTAACCCTGAGTCAGCAGTGGGCCCTCGTGGCCAAGAAGGCCAATGGAATCCTGGCCTGCATCAGGAGGAGCGTTGCCAGCAGGTGGAGGGAGGGGATCCTGCCCCTCTGCTCAGCTCTGGTGAGGCCGCACCTGGAGTGTTGGGTGCAGTTCTGGGCGCCCCAGTACAAGAGGGATGTGGAGCTTCTAGAGAGGGTCCAGCGTAGGGCCACGAAGATGATTAAGGGGCTGGAGCATTCATCTTTTGAGGAAAGACTAAGCGAGCTGGGCCTGGTTAGCCTAGTAAAGATTGAGAGGAGCTCTAATCAATATGTATAAGTACCTTAGGGGTGAATGTAGAGAGGATGAGGCCAAACTCTTCACAGTGGTGGCGAATGACAGGATGAGGGGTAATGGGTGCAAGTTGAAACACAGGAAGTTCCACCTCCATGTAAGGAAGAACTTCTTTCCTGTGAGGGTGCCAGAGCCCTGGAACAGGCTGCCCAGAGAGGCTGTGGAGTCTCCTTCCCTGGAGATCTTCCAAACACACCTGGATGCCGCCCTGTGCCACGTGCTCTAGGTGTCCCTGCAGGAGCGGGGCTGGGAGGGGGGTTTGTCTAGTTGATTTCTGGCGGTCCCTTCCAACGTCAGCCATTCTGTTACTCTGTGATTAAGCAAAACCTGTTCTGTGGCAGTTGGCAGCAGCTGTTTTCACATGGAGAGCAGAAAAGTAAGGCCTTGCTTAAACCTACTGTCTAGGTCAGGTAGTACAGGTAGTATGAGGGGTGGTGAAACT